CACACACACACACACACACACACACATACACACACACACACACACACACACTCACACACACACACACACACACACACCTTTCTTCTTCTTCTCTTTCCTCTCCTCGTCCTCCACCCCCTTGTCCCCTCCCCCTTTCTCGTTCTCCCTCTCTCTCTCTCCTCGTCATCCCTGTCTCTCTCTCCCTCGTCCTCCCCCTCCTCCGCCTTTTTTTTTTTTGCCTTTTTTAATTCTCCATTGAAATTGATATTTCTTTTGTTCCTTGTTCTCGCAGGTGCATCGTCAGCGTCTGCGTCGTCAGCAGGTGTTTCGTCCGCACCTGCCACGTCAGCAGCTAGCCTCGTGAGCAGCAACCGCTTCAACAGCAGCTGCAGCACCCAGAGCACATTCCAGTGCAGCAGCTGCCACGTGAGCAGCAACCGCGACAACAGCAACCACGTGAGCAGCAACCGCTTCAGCAACGGCAGCAGAAGCACCCACAACACCTTCGATTGTCATGTCAGCAGCCACCGCGACAACAGCAGCCACGTGAGCAGCAACCGCTACAGCAGCGGCAGCTACAACCGCTTCAGCAGCAGCCGCAGCAACCGCTTCAGCAACAGCAGCCACTGCACCTTCCAGTGCCAGCTCCCGCAACAGCATCAAAAGCAGCAGTCGCGTCAGCAGCAGCCACTTCAGCAGCAACCCCGCACTGACTCTGCAGCATCACCGGTGTCATGGCAGGGGAGCAACGGGAGTTGTTCCGGGACGACATGACCTGCAGTAGGGACCATGTCGTATGGTCTTGGGTCACTGCTGGGCAGATGCTGTCGGGCAATGCTCGTGGGTCGAGAAGACTGCGGTGCAAACTCTGCAACAAGGAGTACTCCGGTAATCGGAAGCGTCAACAAGAAAAATTTCCCAGAATTAAATAATCGTTGTAGCGTAAAATTACGTTCTAAATTTCAAAATTTCATTCCATCTTAAAAAATGTCATTCCAATTTTAAATTTTTTCGTCTTACTTGAAAACTTTCCTTCCAAGAGTGGGGTATCCCTTCCTATTTGAACTGCATGCTAGAGATAGAATGAAAGTCTGGATGAGTTCATAAAATATTTTAATTGGACTGCCATTCTAAGTTAGGATTTCCAGTCATAAATAGGTTAATCCAATCTAAATTAGACGATATTTGTTGTAGTAGAATGAAAGTCTAATTAAAACATTTCATAAACTCGTCCAGACTTTCATTCCATCTTGAACAAATAGATGTAGTTGGAAGGGAAAACTCATATTTAGACAGGAACTTATCAAATTAAATTGGAAATTTTATAATTGGACAAACATTGGAATGATAATTTATAAATATAAAGAATTTTTTTTTTATGGAATGTTTTTTCAACTTTCATTTCTCATGGGAATTTTTCTGTTGGTGCGTGGGAGCACTTCATTTTGGCAAGGGCGTCTGCCAGGTGTCCACATTCGAACCTGTCGATTTGGAGGAGGCTGCATGGCATCGATGTACAGCTGCCACCGGACCTGCATGAGAGGGTGCAGCGCGTGTTGGAGAKGGAGAAGAGCGACGAGGGAGACAATCCTGTTCTGGGTGGAGGAGAAGSGGGCGAAGGCGGGATYGCTRAGGATCCCGRGGAGGCACYGGGTGGGGACACCATGGAGGTTGACATCGGCGAGGATGAGGGGACGAGGGGTGTTGTGATAGGCGGCCTTGCTACTCCAGGGAGGGCCGGTTCCTCGCMGSTTGTGGTGCARGGGGCACGCATACGTGGCCCGACGAGGSAGATGAGCATCAGGGGGGTTGCRAAGAACTCAAGGCAGGAGGACATAGATGACTCATGYTGCGAGTTCTTCGTGGAGAACATCATACCGTTCAACGCTRCCAGAAGCAAGAGCTTCAGGAAGTTCATGCTGACGTGTATCGGACCACAGCCTGTGGGGAGTCATCGACTCGTGCCTACTGGGTACAACCCCCTCAGGTGTCGCCTGCCCGATCGTTTGAGCAAGAGGTTGGTGAATGAGGAGCAGGCGATCCGTGACGACTGACAGGTGACTGGCTGTACGTTCATAACTGATGGCACCACAAACATCTGTGGACGATCACTTATGAACTACATCCTCGCAGGCCGATCGAAGCCTGTTTTCGTGAAGTGCGAGGATGTGAGCGAGGGAGACAAGGACTCTGTAGCTGTCGTTGTCGGGTGGAAGCGGTTCCTCAGAGAGTGGGGGGTGGAAAAGATCACGGCGATATGCGCTGACTCTTTCGCCGGGAACACGAGTGCTACGAGGATGTTGAGGGAGGACCCCGAGTTCGCACAGATCTATCGGATCCCTTGCACGGTGCATTGCATGGACCTCCTGATGCACGATATAAGTAAGAAGGAGTTGGCAGATGACATCATCACCAAGGCCAACAAAATAGTGAACTTCTTCCGGGTTCACAGGTGGCCTCGGTCGGAGTTGAGGACGTAACTGTTGAACTACACTCACTTCAAATGCACCTGCCTCCTTCGGCCTGCTCAGACAAGGTTTGGGACGAACTATGTGTTGCTGCAGCGACTCGAGGTGTGCGAGAGGGCCATCGTGCGTATCGTCACTGGACACGGTTGGGAGACCATGCTGTGGCGAGGGGATATTAGGGCGAAGGCCTACTTCGTGGAGGAGACAGTTCTTGACAAAGCATTTTGGGCTGATATCAAGAAGCTGACTGTCGTCATGAAGGGGCCTTATAATGTGTTGCGAGAGGTGGACAAAGATATTCACTGCTTGTCACGAATCTATTATATGGCGTGTCGGCTTCCTGGCTTCGTTAGCTCGGCCCCCCTCTCTGCGGACTAGCGAGATGACCTTCACAGGGATGTCGACAACAGGACGGACATGCTGCTCAGCCCCATCCATGTCTTTGCACGTTTGCTGGATCCTATGTTGAGGGACATTACTATTTTCAGTAATGTCGACCTCATGGCACAGTTCGAGAGCGTTGTGGAGCGGCTGATCGGGAAGCGTGGGAGCTCGAGATTTGACGACTGCATGGATCAGTTGTATGAGTTCCAGTTTGGGAGAGGAGTCTTCGGCACCCCGCAGGCAAAGAAACGGGTTGAGAAGGACAATACGGTGCTATGGTGGGAGGCGCATGGTGCAGGGCATCCAGAGATCCGAGAGCTGGCGCTGAAGGTGCTCTCCATCCGGACGACTTCCTCTCCGGCTAAGAGGAACTATATCCAAGAGCTGGCGCTGAAGGTGCTCTCCATCCGGACGACTTCCTCTCCGGCTGAGAGGAACTAGAGAACTTTGGCTCTCGTGCAGACGAAGTCGAGGAACAAGTTGCACCACCAGCGCACCGAGAAATTGGTGGCCTCGCACTGGAGTTTGAGGCTCAAGAGTAGGGGGCAGGATGGGGTCACTGTTGCAGGAGGATGGTTGGGGCTCGCAGCCAACTGGGAGGACGAGGACTTGGAGGGTGACATGGCAAATGTCACAGAGGCAGTTAATGACATTGAGGCAGCTGGTGAGGGCACTGCTTCTGCGGTTGGCAGCACAAACATTCGCCCCGATCCCACAGCGCCGTCCACTTCAAGATCGGTGCAGAGGTTGGTGGAGGTGGAGGTGGAGGAGAAGGAGGAGGAGGAGGCCGATGAGGACAATGACGATGATGTTCCCGACGAGGAGTGGGTGGACGAGAGATCGGACTCGGACAGATCGTGGACGCGGAGAGAGGGCATGGCCCCCTATGTTAAAGGCACACAATCTGGATTAAGGTCCCGGACGCGGGCGCGGCCAGAGGCGCAGCAAGGGGAGCAGCAGCAGCAGGACCAGGTTGAGCAGCAGCAGGACCAGGTTGAGCAGCAGCAGGAGCGGGTTGTGCAGCAGAAGCAGCAACAGGAGCAGCAGCAGGAGAAGCAGCAGGAGAAGCAGCAGGAGCAGCAACAGGAGCAGCAGCAGGAGCAGCAACGTGGGCAAGGGGATAAGGAGCAGCAGCAGCAGCGAGGGGATGAGGAGAAGCAGCAGCATGAGACGGATGAGGAGCAACCGCAGCAGAGGGAGAAGGAGCTGCAGCAATAGAGGGTGAATCCCGCAGTCCAGCAGGAGACCGCAGTGCAGTCGTCAAGAGATGTGCACGAGGAGGGTGAGGCAGAGGGCGAGCAGGGTCGCAGCGCGGTGCGAGGATTTTACAGTTCTTCTCAGCGGTCGCCTCTCGTTGGCCGGTGTCGCGCGCATCGGTCTGACACCGCATGGGGCAACGCGGGACCCTCCCGGCCGCGTCACGGAGGAGTTGGTTTATATCCTTCGTCGCAAAATATACATGGAGCTTCCATAAGCCGCTTCGGCCGAGTGCGCCAGCCATACCTCTCGCCAGCCCTTACGACAGGATAGGGCCTACGGGAGGCACGACTTACCTCCACCTTACGGGAGCTCTCACCTCCCTTCGGTGGGCGTATCCCCCCCGAGCTACCAGTCCACAGTACGAAAGCTAATCAGTTGCAATCGCAGAGGTGGACCAGCCGAGGGCGATTCTTGTTCGCTGTAGCATAGGGGGTACGCGCGGTAATACGCCTCTATCGGACCCGCACGTGAACCGACATCTTGGGGGGCTGAGGTCCCAAGCGTGGTTCGTCGCCGGTCGACTAGGACGCATCCCACACACCACGCGCACACCACGTTTACGAACACAAAAATAAAACACACACACGCACACATACAAAACGACACAACACAAACAACGCGACAACGCTCCTAGCCCCTCGGTAGCCGACCCATAACTTTCCAACGCAAAAATCGGATAGGCGTCGCGCGCGAGTATAAAACCGTACGGGCACAGGGCTAACTCATGTCGACTCGCAATACAATCGTACGCAAGCAGTCACAATGATGGCGTACTATGTAGTGTCTATAATCAAGCGGTCCCTCGTGAATCCGAGTAACGCTTATGACACTCAAGTGTCTGACTCGAAGTGTCGTGACGGTCTAATCCCTCACGACATTGCACGGCTGAAGGAATAGTCGTGCAGCCGCCGCGAGACCTCCGGCATTTGGTCTGAGCGTCTCGGTAGGGAAGGCAAATAGGATCTGCACGGGGGAAGATTCCTTCCCGGCAGAGTCTTGGGCTTGGGATGTCCTGGACAAGGACCTTGAATCCCGGCCTAGGACCAACGTCCGACTATAAAAATCTTCTAAAAAATTAAGGTAAAAAGGGGAATATCCCTTTTTCTTAAACACATAATTTGTTTAACCCTTATGCACATAATCTCAGTAAGTCGCGCACATATCCAAGGCACATATAAATATATATATAAGGCTTATTTATATAGGACGATCACTTCTCACAGTCATAGTGAGGCTCCTCTCAGCCATATATGTATGTAATCGCAGGCAGTCACATCCAGAGTCCGAACCACAAACATACCTGCAATCACATCAAAGATTTAACCAGAAGTACACGCACTACACGCGGTCAACTTCAAGCATTCCTTGCACTCATACCTCTCACTTTAGCCATACAAGCCTCACTCGTGCAACTCTTAAATAAATACTCATTACTTTTGTTGGATGACCATTCAATAAAGTCCGGGTGAAAACACAACAAAACAGTTCAATCACAAGGCTAAAGCCTTTAGGTTGAGTGGCAGGAGTGAATTGGAGTTGAATCGTAAACCGACGAATCGGCAACCGACCTGTTATCAGTGATAACAGAATGTGATTCTTGTAGGATCAAGTTGAACCTAGTCCTGAACTTGAATCAAACGATCAAGAGGACCTGTAGCACATGACAGGTCAATGCCCCAGGCTAAACCTATAAGTCTGTGGGGAACGATCCACATAACATGTTCTTACCAAACTCATTCTAGTTAATTGTATCTAAGCCTACCTCTAAGCAAATGCCCAAAGAAAGGTAGACTCATGACAAAATTTCCCCTATTCAGAGTGGACTACCAGAATCGTCACCTGTCGAAATATAATCGATCTCCCTTAAACTAAGAAAATTTCGGCAGCGCTTCCCGTAGGAAAAGTGTCTTTCCAAAATTTATATAAGTCCAAATATGAAAGCAGAAATAATCTTTAACTCTGGAAAGTCCAATTTTGTCTAACTTCCTGAATTAGTAAAAATTTGGGCAGCACTCCCTTTACTAAGGGAGACTTCCCAGATTTACACTAAGTCAGATATGAATTCAAAAGACCTCGGTCGCTGCACTTGCCGGATCGACACAATATGCCCGCCTGGTCTCATTAGTCGCTCGCTAATGACCGGCTCGGTAGAAAAGCTCATGGCTATAGAGAAGGAGATGGAGATGGGGGTTGAGAGGGAGGAGAATCAGAATAGTCGAGTTCAAGGTCGTGGCCTTCCTCTTCGGAATTGAGGGACGACGTGGACGAGGGGAGAGATGGAGAAGGAGGTAGGGGATGAAGATAGGACGTGTGTCGGATGATCGTTCGAGCCGATCGGCTTCCTGAAACCTCCGGCGAGAGCCGCACTATGTTCGCTCCGCTAGGACCGAGCTCAACTACGCGAAATCGCCCGAAGAATCGTGGCGGTAACTTGCCCTGGTGAGCACATTTCCTTACCTTCACCATGTCCCCTTATTTATAATGAGGCCGAGGCCAAGCGTTCCCATTTCGGGCCTTATAGCTCCAAAACCGTCTTTCGTGGGCCATTTCAGTCATCCGCTGTTTTTTTCGGGCTAACCAGGGGAGGGCCTTTTCCATCAACTTTAAATGGCATTGGGCTTTGTCCTTGACTATTGCCATCGTGGTTCGCCGCGCAAGGGCCGACTTTGTTGCAGAACATGAAAGACAGTTTCATCTTTACCTTTTCTATCTTTTTCGGTTTCTCCGGATTCACACTTACCTTGACTGGTGACTTTGAGGAATCAGGAGACTTTGGAGGCGAAGAGGGAGGAGAAGATCTTGGTGGAGAAGACGACGGATTCAGAGGTCCTCCTCCATTAGACGACTTATGATCCTTAGAAACAACGGACTTCATTGCGTCACGCATCAATTTCTTCTCTTCTGTCTTATCTTCCTTACCTTCGTCTTCTTTACCTTCTACCGGATTCTTCCCTTTTTCAATATTTGTCATAGTTCGTAATCCTACAACAATCTCGTCTAACTGATTTTGTTATCTCTCGATTTTTTCTTCCAAAAAGGTAAGGTAAGTCATGATGTGATACAATGTTTGTGTTATGTCCGTCTGTTCCTTACCTTTTGTTCCTATTACCTGTCTGATTTCCTTTACCTTTTGTTTTCGTCTCAGTTCTTGTTCGTGTTTCCAAGCCAGTTCTTCTTTCTTCCTTTCTTCTGCAGCCAGCGCCTCTCTTAATTGCTAGATGTTCGCGTCAATCATAGCCTCGGTCACTTCCAGGCTGATTTCCTCTTTCCTAGACAACTCCATGACTTCTTCCAGCTGCTTGATAGCAAACTGGTTCAGCGCTTGCCGGCACAGGGCCATCATTTATAACACTTCGGCCCCGACAGCCACAACTTCCATGGCTGTAATTGCTTGCTTCAAACGGTTCTCTACCGTCTGCAAATCAAACGGATTACGAACGTGTCGTTCGACGTCCAGTTCGGACATATGCAAATCATTCAATAGCTGGTTCGATAGAGCTAGTAACTCTTGTTTCTTTGTCTCCGTCTGTTTCCTTGTCTTGGGATTGGAGGATCCTTCGCCCGCAAAGAACGTCATCGGAAAAAGAAGCAAGAGTATTTTCCACATGCTAAACATCTTGGAGGTCAGGTTTGAGGAAATATTTGCAATAATGAAACAGAAAAATAAAGAGAAATAATAAAAAGGAACAGATCTCTATTTATCATAATTGTTGTTCTTTTGTCGGTTTGATGACATCCTATTCGAGAGTATACAGGTACCGCGCCAGACCCGTGTGCTCAAATACAACACACAAGTAAGTACGCACAACACCACAACACAGCAAACGACAAGGTAAGTATTCCAACAACAACAACAACCAATTTGTCAGCACCCTTCTTCTTTCTGCTGAGTCATCCAGGTGTCAATTTGTTGATGCACCCTCCTTGACAACTGGCACTACAGCTGTCTCGTCAGTCGTTCAATCGGCCGTACCACCGTCGTCTTCGGAGTGCTTCTCTTACTTGGCAGCCACCTGCCTTCGGAGTGCTTCTCTTACTTGGCAGCCACCTGCCTTCGGAGTGCTTCTCTTACTTGGCAGCCACCTGCCTGCCACGTGTCATCCATGGAGTGCTAACATAGCAGATTCTGCCACGTCAGCACTAGTGTGAAGTCAATCAATAAAGGGATGCTACGTCAGCAAATGTGTTCTCCGTTCTTTTCACGTGCCACTTCCACGCGTCGTATCGTGATACCGTCGCCGTTCCAGCCAATCGGACAATGCCACGTAAGCCAATGGAGACCGATGCCACGTCAGCAGGAAATCAACACCTCAAGAAGACAGGTGTGATGGCTTCTCCCCTGCCACGTCAACAATCAGTCCTGACTTTCCCAAAAGCCACGTCAGCTTCTGTAACAGACCTGGTCGTGCATAAACTGCTAATGCAGTGTGAGAATGCCACGTCAGCAGGCACGTAAGGATCTTCTTTCGCCAGTGAAGTCTCTACCACGTCAGCAACTCCGGCGGTAACTTCTTGTCAAGTCATCACTACCTCAGCACATGTGTGCATGCCCACTTACCTGTGCGCCACCTGGCGCGTGCTCACGTGTGACCGTCGTCGTCGTCAAGAGAACTGCTCCGGTACCAAATTGCAATGAACCCTGATCGTGAAGGCATTTGTCAACAATGCAAGTTCAGATGAGTGTCAACCAGCTGATGATTATTAATAATCATGTTCGTGTCGAGATACCCAAGAGAAGAGAAGACATACACAGACGAGGTAGATGAGAGGGAGAAAGAACTTAAAGTGGGGAGATAGAAACAATGTCCACTGCTTCTTCGGGCTCCCTCCGCAATCACGACCTCAATAATCAATAATCCGAACGAGTATCTGAAGTAACCTCAATGTGCCACGTGGCACGTCTAATCAGCCCCTCATCAATGCTGGAGCAATGTCGTCATGAAGACAACCCGGTAAGTATTCACGATCTCTCCACACTGTCCACAGTCCTGATCTCCTCCTGAATGACGATAATTAGAATAGCAACACAAGTCACATAGCTTCGCCTAGGCAACCAGTAGTATAC